CTGCTGAAACTCAGTGAAACTTTGTTTCTTCCTGGCTAGTTATAAAAGTGCTACTTGCCTGCTTGACAGTTAATCTTTTTTCTCTCTTTTCTTGCAATGAACACATTTCACTAATCATTTTGCACATCAGATTTCATGTTTTATCATTTCTCTGTAGTCCTTCAGGTTTGTGTTTGACAGTTAGAGGAATGGAAGCCTAAACTGTTTTATTGGTTACATGCTGGGTGGAATGGGACAACTTAGTTTGTGAGACTTTCTTGCTACTTTGTTGTTTTGGTTTGGATCCTTTCCTTCATGGGCCTTCAAAGTTGTCTTTGAGTCTTGTTCGCTAATCAGCCTGTGTACTCAGACATTGTTTCATATTGAGGCCTTATTCATGCCAAATTACTGAATGCTTTTCATCACTTCGGGTTCACTGGACCTATTGGTGGTTCCAGGACAGTAGGGTCCCCAGTTTGCACTTGTAATAAAACCTTGAGACTCTGGTATTTCACTCTGAAACCTTTGCCCGACTCTGGGGTTTATCCTGCAGGGATAAATGGGCTCGGGGATTACAGCATAATGCCGTCAATAATCTATGCATGCACATAGGCTTGAACAGATGAACCAGGAGAACGCTTACCTTAATGAAAATATGTGTCATCATGTGAATGATGTGATAAGCTCTGGGACCAGTCTAGAAAAATTCAGGACAGGCCAACATAGATGCTGTTTATGCAACTGGAAGAAGTAAGGAAGAAGACACGGAGCAAAAACATTTAAAATGGATATTTCTGTGGTGAGGACTAATATTAATATGTCTTTAAACAGCTGCCTGTTCTTGCCCACTCAGCACTAAGTATTTCGGATTGTGAACCTGGTAACCTAAGGGAACAGGGCATATTTAAGGTGCTTTCAGCCTGCCAGTGCTTCCCGTGGCCTGTTGCCCAGTTTAAAGCAGCTTTGGTGATGATTTCAAAGACAGCGACTTACATGATGTGAAATGTGCACACCTCATGAAAACAGGCAGCCGGCAGAGAGGTGGGACGCAAATTTGTGCTTTACCGAGGAAAGAGTTGAAATCTGAAACACCTGATTCATTTCTCTGCAAAAGAACCCACATTGGGAAAGAGGAGGGGAGAGAGAGGGAGTGCCTCAGCCGCAGGAAAGGCTTGGATCAGATCGGACACCTTATTAGGCAGAGGATAATCTAGTCGTGAGACACAGAGCTATGAGACTCAAAGGCACAGGATGGGCTTCAGGAGTTAAGCTTCCTGCACAGCTGTTTGCTCCTGTTCATGGTGGGGTTAGAGCAGTGCTTACCGGGCTCTCACGCACATCTGATATTTGCAGTAGATTTTCTCTGCTCGTGCTGTCACTACATCAGCGAACTCTGTAGATGTTTCAGCCTAACCCTCAGAGAATAATTGGTACTTTTCTGATTGGTACTTGTTTTTTTTTTTTTTTTGAATCTTGAGTAGTAGGGAAGACACTAGGGAGTTTCATTTCTTTGTTAATTGCCAGTTCAAATCTACTTTTACTTTCAAGTTCCTATGTAAATGCAGATTGCAGAGTGGCAGAGGCCGTAGGGTTTCTCCTCACTTCTCCAAAGACTTTACATTTAGATTTGTAATTCATTTTTAATCCTAATTCTGCTTGTAATAGATCTGTGTCCGTCGCTATCTTCTTGTGGGAAATTCACAGCAGCAAATATGACAGGTCTTCTTGTCCTTGAAATTGTATATCCACTTTGCTTGAGCTAAAAGAGGATCTCCACTTGTGGCTGGAGAATAGAAAGCCTGTTTCAGGGACTATATAGAATTTTACATGGCCTTCCGTGATTCCTGAATGTGATGAATGCATGCAGGACTGCACTTGTTGTCACCTCTAATGCTGTCACCTCCTCCCTGCCCCCAAGTTATTTAATGTCTTTTAAATATTTCAAAATGCACAACAATGACAGCAAAAAGTAGGGTTATTAAGACCTATTATGTGTATGATGCATGTTGCATAGGTATACCGGGAATATATACTGGGATATACTAGAACTAAGGATACTAGGAGGAGGTTGGTTTAAAACAGATAAAAGAAAGTGCTTCTTTACACAGCAGGAGCGAGCTTCCGGAGTTCATTGCTAGAGGAGGTGGTAGAAGCAGTATCAAGAGGTTCAGAGAGGTGTTAGATAAATTCCTGGACAGCAGGTCCATAAACAGGTACTTGAAAGAACAGAGAGGGATATTCCTTCTAACATCCCTGACCCAGGAAGTAGCTAATCCCATTTTTAAAGAATTTCACCAGTGTAAAACCGTCATCACAGGAGCTTCTTGGGTTGGTTGTGTCTTTTTGCAGAAGCGGACTGTAAGAAATACTTAAAAAGGAAGCAGCAGGAGGCCGACCAGCCACTTCAGGTCCCAGCAGTAGACAGCAGTGTGCCAAGGACATCAGAACTGTTGGGCATCACAACTAGAGATGATCCATACGGTAAGTGACCGTGCACAAAATTGCTGCATGATACTTCACGTTGGGATTACACTTAGGTGTAGGCAGATCCCTGTGAGAAACCCGTTTACTACAAGTTTACTTTATTACCTATGACTTTTTCATAACCCAGGCTAGAATGATGTAATTGATAGTCTGCAGGCATTTTTATTTATCCCATTGCCCAATTTCCTGAGGCAGAGACGAAGAGCAACCCCGGTGAATGCTGTACCCAGAAATAGCCAGGTAAAGAGTGCACCAAAGAGGAGACTTTCCAAAACGTGTCCCCTACCACAGCCTGGCTCAGACCAAGGAACAACTGCTGGTGGCTGAAAGCACGATGAATTGGAGTAAAGGGGGAAGGATCCCAAAGCAGATTGCCTTGGCTGCACTCCCAGTCTTAAACAGATGTAACTGTCCTTAATAAAAAGGAAGTGAGGCTTGAAATATTGCTGAGTGTGAAGCAGGGAGAGAGAGGAAGTGCAGCTCCGTGTGAATGTGATGAACTGCATGTGCAGCTCTGTGGGTGTGTGTGCAGGCCTGTGTGTGCCACTCCGTGCACATTTACTGTACATGGGGCCATTATTATTCCCCCAAAGGGTCCATAGGCCAGACCAATACACCACTGTTTGTACACAGCAGCTTTGCTAGACACGACCAAGTTATCTCTCTGCCCTGAAGTACACCCACAGCAGTGTCCTCAGCTTGGCTGGCCTGGCAGCCAGTTACCCTTCTGTTTGGCTGAATGCTTCTTGGGCTGGATCTGACTGCTGGATTGCCACTTTTCTGATCAGCTTGTAGAGCCTGACTTCTTTTCTCACTGCAGTAGACTTTAACTGGCATAACAGCCTTAAAGTATAGGTAGTGACATTGGTATGGAAATGAAAGAACACAGTGTCCAGCAGTCTTAAGGAGCTTAATTGTGAGAGACTTTGCCCTTAAAATAGAGTATTTAATCTTTGAGTGCATGCTAAATGAATGAGAGCTGCCAAGCATTAACATTTTTGGAAAACAGGGTCATTTACTTAGGATGTGACTTCAGGTACCCAAATTTGAAGTCTTAGCCATAAAACTTGCAGGTTCCAAACTTCAGGGCCTGCCTTGTACCTCAGTAGAGAGTGGATGTCAGGGCATTGGTGGATGAAGGGCCTTCAGAAAACTTTTGGTCAGGAAGCGTGTAAGTCTGAGATCTGAAGCAGAGAACCAGGACCCAGAGCCTCAACGCTACTTAAATGTGTAACTTCCAGGGAAAAACCACAGCAAAAGGCTCTGAGTTGCATCCTCGGGGATACTCTACTCTCTCCAGCTCTTCCATACGCTCTCTCACCTCTGCCTCGGCAGAGCTGATGTCTGTATCTTAGCTACCCTTGCCTAAACACCACCAACAAATGTGGGTTATGCTAGTAGCCTGGACCGTCAAACAAAGCAGTCAAGGCACAGACGTATGCTCCTTCCTGCTGTTACGGACAAGAGTCTGGACTGAAGGACAGCTGATCTGGTAAAATGTTAAATTACAGCAGCAAGTTTGTCTGTCAAAGCCCCTAGTTCTGAGTCAAGGGCTGTGGGAACTCCTGAGTGCTCACTACAGGAGTCAAGTTAACTTTGTTTCCAGTAAAAGATGGTAACTAAAGATTTTAATGGTTTCAGGGAACGGAACAGAGATGTTTGATGCCTTCATCTGTTACTGTCAGAAGGACCTTCAGTTTGTCCAGGAGATGATCAGAGAGCTGGAACAAACAGAGTTCAAACTGAAGCTCTGTGTATTTGATCGGGATGTCTTGCCAGGAACGTGTGTGTGGTCCATCACTGGAGAACTTATAGAAAGGAGGTAGGTGAACCGTGGCTGTTTGGGACAGCTCAGCGTAACGGAACATTGCATTCATTCTTTCTACTGTGTTGTCTGCAGTGTGGTGCCAGCGAAGTGATAAAAATCCACAGGGATGTCTTTATGGGGTTTGTTTTATGCTCTCAGCAAAAGAAGGAGGATTCAAGCATTCCCAAACATGTAGCTTCATAGAATTCACAAGGAAGGAGCCATTGTAGTGGTGCTGCTTACGCTTGATCCCCTTTCTTTGGCCAGAACATCTGGCAATTGCATTTTTGAAAGAGATCTGGAAATGAATACAGCTCCAAGCTGAGTTAGCTCCACCCAGCAATGTGGGGTTTGAAGGGACAGCACAGGTGTTGACGCTGGCTCTGACTTCGGGGATCCTTCAAATCTCTGTGGGACTCAAGCACGGACTGGAGCTGTGCAACATAAGAGCAACTCCCCAGATAGAGAGCTGCCTACAGAAAGTGCTCTTTAGTGTCAAGAAGGGAGGTACTGGCCTTTGGAGCTCTTTTGCTCCTCCAGTCCTGCTAAATTAGGCTCAGTGAAAAATCCAGACACAGGTGTTTGGATTCTAACATCAGTCTTTCAGATGGATGTGGCTTGGCATTTAAGAGACCTTAATAAGGCCTCATTTTGTTGACTGTTGTACAGCACAGCCTCCCATAAAGAGCCTAATGTGTAGTTTACAACCAAGTGAATTCACCAGACCGGGTGAATTCACAGTAATATTAGTATAATAAACCTTTGTCCAGATCATATTAATATAAAAAAACAGTGATGCTCAGTCGCTAGGGGAGTATGTGAGCAGATAATTAAAGATGGCATTTTTTGGTAATATATAGACTGAAGATCAAATAAAGATTGCACAGACAAGCTGGGTTTTTTCGTGTTAGTATTTGAGTGTGCAGCTGTAATGAGGTTTTTCTGTATAATGTAGCTGTCTGTCAGTAGACCTTACCCTGTAGTTTATTTCTGCTGGAACACAGTTGCTGACTTCATTTTTCCACTAGAACAGTACTAAGGAATACATATTTTTACCAGTGAGGATAAGACACATCTCTAATGGTTTTTTTTTTTGCTTCCCTGACTGCTTTAACTTAGGTGTCGGAGGATGGTGGTCATCATTTCAGATGATTACTTGGAAAGTGATGAATGTGATTTCCAGACCAAATTTGCTCTTAGTCTTTCCCCAGGTAAGATCTTGCAAATACCCCATTTAAAATTTCATATCAATATTATTGTTTGTATTACAGTAATAGCTGAAGTTTCAGCTGAGATCTGTGCCCTGCTACTGAGCACTGTACAAATGCAGAGCGTGAGGGTCTCAGATGAGTTTAAACAGGTGAGCTAACTAAGAGTGAGAAAGAAGAAATTAAGTAATTGGTGGTTACAGAACCAGGAATAGAGCATGGCTCTCCTTAGTCTCACACCTGGGTTCTTTCTACTGACCATCCTGTCTCATGTTTGTCAAAGTCCACACAGGGATTGTCCTGGGTTTAATACTCTTCACTAAGCAAACAGATTTATTGCTGTTAAAAGTAGCCATTAAAACAAACAGTGGTTTGACAATTTTGTTGTGCAGGCAGGGACCTGGATTTGGTTCCTTGCCCAGCCGCTGACCTTCTGTGTGACTACGAGCAAGAAGTTTTGCTGCCGGTGCTTCAGGGCTCTGGCTGTCAAACGGGCTAATGCTGCCTGCTTCAGAGATGCATACATTTCAGGGATGGCTTGTGAAGTGCTTCAATATCCATATAGGGAATATGCTATTGGAGGGCAAATTGATATAGTAAACTTAGGGTGTTAGTAAATGCTGAGGCTAGGGTAGCAGTTAATGAACGTTCACCTTTTTTGCAGAGATCCTTGAGTATTGTGGATATAGGCCAACAAAATCTTGAAAGAATTTTAAACTTGGAAAAATCTATTCCTTCTGTTGTTCTGAATTGAAGAACCATCCATTTATTTCTGTCAAGTCTGTTCAGATGGCTTTGCTCTAACTGCTACTTATCCTACACTCTTGTATGTTCCTGAGGAGTAGATGTAGCTTAGCCTAACAGCATGGAGGATATACACTATCTGTTAGGAATGTCCGCATGTGCAGTCTTTTTTCTAGATAGGGTGCTTGACATCATGTATAAATGATGTGTCAGAGGTTAAATGGGAAGCCAGTGGCAGAGCTAGGAATTAGCTTCATTTTCCTTGATGCTATAATTTCATACCATGGCCAATAATCCATTGAGGAGCCCTAACAAATTGCATCAGCCCCTAATCATAAGGATTTGTAGCAAAGTCCTTCTAGTTCTGCAGCAATTGTTCATTGGCAGCACACCCTTCATTAGGACAACCAGAAAAGAAATGCTCATCTGTGTGTAATGAGTTGATCTCTACCAGTAAAAACATTGCATGCAAGTACAGGCTGTTAGAAATAATAGGGTAACAAATACGCAAAAGGATTTGGTGATAAATACTGAGTACTCTATGGATTACTTAGGTATCTGCTGCAGTTACGAAATCTTGCATTGCCTCGTCCAGGTCTCAGCATCATCACTTGTGCTGAGCAGCACAGTTTAGCTGGTAGCAGGTTTCCATATGAAAGAGGAAGAGGTTCCTCTTCAAAACAGCTGCTCCTTCAAGCAATAGTAATCACAGGGCTAGGTAGTCTGATCTTGGGCATGGCTCCAAAAAGGCAGTCAATGCTGGCAGAGTGATTCCTAGCAGCCCCTTATAATTGGTGGGTACTGCAACAGAATATCTCAGTGAATCAGGCTAGGAGGAGAAAGAACTGGAGACAGCCCAGTAAAGCTGATCATCTAGAAGAAGCTTAGTCTCTCCATTTTCTCTTCATGTACATCTGGAAGTAGTCAGGACTGTATGCTGCTGTTTGCATTCAACAAGAAACTCTGCTTTGTTCTTTTTTGTCTGCAGTTCAGTAGGGCTTTACCACTCCCGCTTGGGATCAGTGCAAGCTGCCATATGCATGTTAGATGAAACGTGGGGCCCTGTTATATATTTGAATGAGGTCTTTGTAGTGGCGGCCCTGTGATTCAGAAACTTACTTTCTAGGGTTAAAGCTAGTTGCATTGTACCGATGTGACTCAAAATCAGTGTCAAACCTCACGTTCCTGGACCTTCTCTGTGTGTGTGTGTGTGTGTGTGTGTGTTTGTAGTGCTGCGAGGAGAAAATAGTACAGAATCTGACTGTAGCTGTGTGTAATCTCCTGCCTGTGTGACTTGTCTTACAGGTGCTCGTCTCAAACGGCTGATTCCAGTCAAGTGCAAAGCCATGAAGAACGAGTTTCCGAGTATCTTACGGTTCATTACAATTTGTGATTACACCAATCCTTGCACCAAAAAATGGTTCTGGACAAGACTGGCAAAATCTCTCTTGCTGCCGTGATTCAAAGTTATAAGATCCAGGTGTTTCCTTTTTTTTTTTCCCTTCCTTTTTTTAAAAATATCTCTCCTGGCTGTGCCTTTGGACCGTGGTGTCATTCATGAAGTCTTCAACTACTGCAGAACATCTTTCCTCGCGGTCTGTGTTTGGAGCCCACAACTGGGAACAAAGCATTTTCTCTAGCACTTTTTCATGGCTTGAAAGGGGAAATAAAGCAATTGCCTGGGTGTTCCTGTTCAAGTCAATGAGCAACAGTATCCAGCACTTCATGTAGTAAGGACTTACACTGAATATATACATTTAAAGGCTGAGTCATTAATGTGGGAAGGCTCTATTGTAAACATTGAATAAAATCTGGGAATATAAAATGCTGGTATAAAACATTAAATAATCAAAGCCTCAAACTCCAGGCTTTTTAAAAAATATTTCATGTTATTTTAAGAGCTGTTTAATGGATATAGAAACTTCTAGGGTTGGGCTGGGAGCTTGTAGGGTGATGGTGTCTTTTCTAAATTGCATTGAAATCCCATGGCTGCTCACTGATGTACAGGAAGTAAGGTTTAAAATAAGGTTTTAATCTCAGGCCATTTCCTACTTGGTGAATGGCAGGGCCATGAGAATGACCAGTTTTGGGAGCCTTGTCTGCAGAGCCGAGCCTGCTCTGCCTGTCCGTTGCCAGTGAGCTGTGTGTCCTGGTCTGTGCTGCAGCCCTGCTGCTTGGGCAGCACGGAGGAATTTGCATTGCCAGTCCCTGGTCTGTGCTTGTTCTCAGGGTAGACAGTCTCCTTCAGTCTTTGTTTTTAAAGGAGTAGCAAACATATTTTAATTGTTTAGAAGCACTACAAAGAAAAGAATGGTTCTCACTTTGTTCTTAGCAATATCTGCAGTATTGCAAAATTAGAGCAATTACTCTTGCAGTCATAACTAATGCAGCATTACTGAACTCTGTTTTCTGTTGGATATATTTTGCTCCTTAAGTTTTGTCCCAATATGCCTTTTCTGTGTTCATTTACAGGGTGAATCCCTTGTCACTAGCATTTTCTGAGATAGTCCCTCAGGTTTGCTGTAAGTGATTAATTTTTGCTTATTAAAAGCAAGGACTATAACAAAGGATATGTTCTTGTAACATACTCTGTCTGTGTTCAGGTCACATTTAGTTAAGTGCCGTGTTTTATACCAGCATTTTATATTCCCAGATCTTATTAAATGTTTAAATTCGAGCCTTCTTGTATTAGTGATTCAGTCTTTAAATGTTTATTTTTGGTGAAAGTCCTTACTACCCAAAATGTGAGGTACTGTTGCTCATTGACTTGAAGAGGAACAGATCTCTGCACCTTGTGGGATCAGACCTTAAGTTGTTTGAACTGGAAGAGCTGGCCAAAATACAGCTTTTTGAGATGCCTCAAAGATACAGGGATAAATATCAGATAAAGAGTGCGTTTGGGCTGCTTCAAAAAATTAAAGGGTAATGTTACTTTAATAGGAAAGCATATTTTAATTAAGTGCCACAATTAATCATTAATGTATATTTGTGAATGGGGCTAGGAACAACATTGACATTTCTCTACATGTTAGATTTAGCTTTGAATTTTGCAGACTTCAGTGCCACTTCAGTGGCTTTCATCACTTCTTGGTGCTTGGGGGTGGGAGGCAAGGGTGCTGCCCAAAGTGGTGTTTTAAAGGGACCTGTTGGTATATTAAACAGATTTTCAGTAAATATTTACTTTCTAAATAGGGAAGAGAGGAATTTTGCCTATGTATCTGCACTCGTTTGAACTCTACCACTTAGTTCATTCCTTCAGCCACTGACTCATGTTGATTTTATAGCTTAATGATTTACAGTTTACATGTTTAAGATTGTATCTGGTTGTCAGTCTTTTATAGTTTTTTTTTTTTTTTGTAAAGCATTACCGCGGCTGAATTCTTCAGATAGAGACTTGTGCACCTATCTTTTTCTCTCTATGAAGGTGCGTGCTACAAAGGTCTGTCAACATCCCACTGCTGGTTCCTTCTAGCAGACAGGCCAGTCCTTGACTTCAACAAGAGAAGCGTGTTCACACACCTAACATTAGTGTCAGGGGACGTTTTTGAATAGGCCAACAAACTGGGCATGTTTCTGTCCCTCCTGTAAGTATAACTGCTACCATGGTGCTAAGAGAACATTGGCACCTTTCTGTCTTGCTAGATCAAGTGAGAAGTCCATGGGTGTGGGAGGAGAAAAGTTAAGCTGATGATGTGCTTCTAAGTCAGTTTATCTTCACGTGCTGTTGCTCTCAGGCCTCCCCTGCAGAAATGGAGACAGCTGCTTGCCTTGGCGTTTCTGCATAATCGTTAAATGTTAATTATATAATAGTTTCTGGAGGCTACTTGATCCCCCGTCACTCCTGGAGCTTGGAGAATTCTCATACTACGGAGTGTCTATAAACATTAATTATGGGTCATTACTGGCAGGACTGAACCAGATTCCTCTTCATTTAAGAACTGAAAGAACTTGTCTGGTGGCTTATTAAAGGGGAGAACAAAAACTTGAGGCTCTTTGGTCCAAACGCTAGAGGGAGGTAATGGTCCATGCTGCGAGCATTGGATTCAGAGCTGGTATCGAGCCAAGCCACCAGTTACACTGCGAGGGGGGAGAACTGAGGCACTGGAAAGCTGTGCGTGGTTTGAGTCCTGGGGGGAGACAAGAGGAGAGCTTTTTTTTCTTTCTTCTGCCCCTTGCACCTTCTTCTAGAGCGAATATACCTGAAATAATAGTTCACAAGTTTTGATGGCAGATTCAGCCTCATACAGTGTCTTCTGGATATGCATCCCGATGTGTGGTTTGGGACCTGGGATGTTGCAAATGAGCGAAAAATAATAACAGTTACATTAATAATAGATGATGTGGTGATCGATGGACTGAAAAAAGCACTGCTTCTGGAAGGGAAATGAAGAACAAGATTTCAATTTCTGCATCTTCTGAATTCCACTAGATTAGCGTGCTATTCAAAATAATTCTAAAAGATGTCAGTGCTCAGGCTGGATCTTATTATCACCTAACTTCTATGCCTCGGTTCTTCCATCTGTCTATCTTGGATGCAGCACAAGTATTTCTGTTAATGGAATGTTACTTTTTTAAAAGCAGTCAAAAATTGTCTTGTATGCTAAAATAACTCTTTTGGGGTAAAGAGAAGTAATAGCCCTAAAGTTACAAAATGTGTTTAAAATATATACCCTTTTACCTATAAAATCAAGTTTATGCACTTCTGACATTGCCATATCTGTTTTGTCATGGTGACTTTATTATGACATCTATGAATGACATAATATCCAGTTATTGTAAACACATTTCAGCTGCAATTACGTGGTTCTCTTTTCCCCCCTTTTCACGCTCAGTGGAAGGGCCAAATATTGAACACCTTTAAAAAAGGGACTTACAAATCATAACGTTACATTGTTTCCATTTTGTTTCTTTCCTTCACTGAAACTGTTGTAGTTGAATCTGTTAGTACCAAATCATTTATTTTTATATATAGATAAAAATATATATATTTATATCACTTTCTATCCTGATATGAATCTCTGGAAAAGCATATATATTGTATAGCCATTCGAAAATAGTCAATTATTCTGTATTTTTTCTTCCAGCTTAAGAACAAACTATTGCTGCTTGTGAAAGCACAGTAAAATAAAGATGAAAAATCCTACAGGCTGAATCTCCTTCTTGGGCATCAGAGAATATTAGGTTTAAAAGGGAAGTGTTAAGTGAGAAATAGTACTGGGCAGTTCTTTTCTGTTTTCATATTTGTTTTTCTTGAACAGTTTCCGTGGTGGAGGTTTTTGACTGTGTCTGGAACATGGAGAAGTACAGCTGTATCGCCCCAAGAGGAAAATTGATAAGAAAGTGTACTTCAGGCAGCTGATTCCTTTCCAGGTCTCACTTTTAGTTTTGCTGTCTGTAGTCTGTGTCTATCCCCGTGCCACCCTCTCTGCAGCGCTGGTACCAAACACGCTGGAGGTAATGGAGCCAAGGCTTGCATTTTCCACCTGCAGGAAGCAAAAGTGCTGCGTATTTAGCTCCTATTCGACATCCTTTCTAGAGATCCCAGCAAGAAATATATTGCCGTGCAGTGATATGGAGGATTTTGCCAGCTCTGTTTCCTTAGGCAAATGGCCAGGAGTGAGGCCAAGCCAGGGAAATAACTTAAAAATACAAACACAGCAACATTTGGGCCAAGGCCCTACCACAGGAAAAGAGAAAGAATCAGTGAATCATAGAAATGTTGCTTGGAAGAAATGTCTGGATGTCAAGGATCAGCTTCACTTCATATCAGGAGAGGCTGTATTGTAAGCCTCTTGCAGGACAATATTCCCCATAAAGCTTATGAAATAATGTCTTTGCTACGGGTAACACAAACCAGCACGTGTATAGTAACATGGAAATCATTGCTGATATTATTATTCTAGGTAGAAATCATGGGCAAGAACTGCCTAGCAGGAGGGAGCATGGTCTCAGAAGCGCAGGAATCCCATCAGCTTTCAGTGATGCTTCATGCCATGCAGCTGTTTAGATGGTTTTTGAAAAATTAATGATTTCTGCCTGTGTTTGAAACTGCATGAGCATAGCTTGGAGTCAGGGGGGCCGGGGAGTCTAGTCGTGGTAGCTCTTTTCCATCTTCCTTCTTTTTGAGTCAGATGAAATAACTCCCTGTCCTACCTGTCGCTGGTTTTGCAACTTTGATGCGGGAACTTCTCTGTGGGCACCACGTCCTCATTTCCTGAAGGACAGCACTTACCTGGCGAAATTCAGTAACTGGTACGAACTGTTCCGGGCTTCAGAGGTGGGTGGTGACAGATGACGTATTGCCCCTTGATGGATCAAATTCTGTTTTTCATTTCATGAAAACAGTTGCTTTATCATGACAGAGGCACTCTTTGGTCCAGCGGGCACATTAACAAGAAGAAAATTAGCATAGGGAGGAAAATGTAATTATGCATAAAAAACAGGCTGGGAAAATGTTGTTTGATCATCTTGGAAACATACTTTAACAAGGCAACAAAAAGAAAAAAACAAGATACACATCACTGGAAAACATGCTAACAGAATTTATTAAAAAGAACCGCTGTCAGACCTATTGGGGTTTCAGTGGCTAAAAAACAACTAGACATGCACTGTATACAAATGTTTCTCTAAAGGTAGTTTTCTCTAGGTGCTGTATTATAGCTATTTTTGGTTCAGCTGATCCCCACCAGGATTTTGAGATGACTTTGAACCTGACTGAACTTCTTGATGAGTGCTATCAAGCCATGTCCAACAGCCTTGTTTATTTTCTAGCAAAATCTGCAGTCTGCAGAATGAAAATTGTTGTCGGCATTCTGGAGCTGCCACTGCTCTCTAAAGGTTTAATTAATTGAGCATGTATTTAAGTGTTAAGCCATTCCAAAGGCTGATTTATAAACAAGGCATTTTCCGCTCCTACTGCAGAGGCCAGTTTAGCAATGTGCCTTCCCGTCCCCCCGTTTCTGCTGATAAACCTGCCTGTGCAGTGCCAGGGGTTGGGGCTGTCCATGTCTGACCTGGACAATGCTTTATTGTATCTGAGCCAGGATAAGATGGGCTGCCCAAATGCGTGTTGTGAACTGCTGCTCTGTTCTGCGTGGGATAAAACCCCTCAGGTCAGAGGACGGGTGTTTCATCTGCTGCGGTTGCACTTTCTCCTGGCTGGCAGCAGGACTTGCGGTCAGTGGAAGGGAGGAGGTTGCCCCTCATTCTGCTATTCATTTCCTCCAATTCCTAAATGTGTTTAGCTTGTTTTTTGGTGGGGCTGGAGTGGAAGCAAGGAATGAACTTGGTCTCTTGACAAAAGAATGCCTGGAAACGCTGCTGCTCTCTCAAACCCCCGTTCTTAGCAAATGGGGAGCGCTCCAGGGAGACAGCGTGGTGGTAGATGGCTGGTAACAGAGAGGCTCAGGGAGGACTGCACGAGGGTTTCCTCTTGAGCTCTTTCCTTTGGCGTCCTCCAAGGCTCATCATACACCAGAGCCCTGGAACATCCACCTTGCTTGCCTTGGACCACCTTAGTGGAGCTTGGTCTCCAGGAGAGAGGTTCTGCTTCTCACCCCCATCAGCTCATGTCCCTTCTCTGCTCCCGCAGGCTCCTTCACACCCTGCACCCCACAGCACCCACCCAGGAGACTGGGCTTCAGCTGTCCTCCTCTTCAGCTGCCTTGGGGCTGGTCCCTCAGGAGGGGCGCTGCCCAGTGTCATCTGGTCACCTCCTGACGCCGCAGGGCAGAATGAGGTACTGGTGGTACCGATCGGTGGCTGTGCCCGAGGGCAGCACCACGACCGAGCATCCGGATTTGCCTTGGACCAGATAGATTTCATTCTGCTCTCCGCCCAGCCACCCTGTCCAGTAAGGAAAGGGCAAAAGTAGCAGGGCAGGCTGGATGCCAGCCCTGCGGGGAGAAGTTTGGTGCTGGCTCCTAAGGCAGGTGGCTGCCTTGGGGGAGCTGGGGACGGCTGCGTGGAGGTGCCAAGCTAGACCGTGCTGGACCAGGAGGAGGAGACCCTTGCTCTGCGTCTAGTGAGAACCTATGGGCTGAACCCTGTGAATCCTGTTCGCTTGTTACTGAAATCAAACTCAGGAGGCAATAAAATGGGTCTTCATCCACCGTTTGGGGTGCCAACGTATGGATTTATAGCAAATATGTTCAGGCAAATGTGTGTGGGTGCAATAAAATGAACTTTCCCAAACTTTCTGCAGCATTTTTCTGGCTCTGGTCTTCAGATATGTTCGCCTTCTGTTTGTGTCAGCAGAACTAATTTAAGAGCAATAAGCCCTAAGGTGCTTAACTGCTTGTGTGCTGGTTGGAGATCTCTTGGCTCAGAAACAAAATACACCATCCAAATGTGGAAAACTGCATAAGTGAATCTGAAGATGCAGGTCTGTTCCATGTTCTTCCAGAGCAACTGTAAACCCCACGGACTGCTTTAGAGTAATGCTTTCAAAAATGCTCGGAAATCTGGGTGACTGACTTAAAACTATCAGATCTGTGGAGATGTAGTATTTTTGGCAGCACCTGGCAGATATTTCTGACCGAAATATATGTGGAAATGAGATTTAAAGTGCATTAAGTTGAGGGCTAAAATGGACATTGCCCTTAAAATGTCAGTGGCTCAGCATCTCTAAAACTTCACATGGTAATAAAAGAACATCATTTTTCCGTATTAGTAAAGGGCCTTGGAGATTTTTAGAAAGAAAGGCAAGGAAGAGATGTGCCACGTTTTTTACTCTAAAAATATTTACTGTAAAAATGACTATTGCTTGTTTTTCCTAATACAGTTGTTCCTCAGCCTCCTTGGTGGCTTAACCTCTCTCAGCAATGCACCTGGCTGCTGGTGAGCCGCGTTGTTTTATCGAGCACTGGGAACGGGAGCTTTTAAGATTTTCTCTCTGAGCTCTCAGAAATCTCTCCTAATCAGCATGCTGCTCTTGACAGACGGC